TGTTAAGTTCTCTGATGTTTCCCTGTGGACACTGTTAAGCTCTCCCGAAGCTTCCCATCTCGGGAGCAGGCTCGGGTAGCCAGCCCCCCAGCCCATCCAGAATGTGCCAGCAGCAGTCTGGTGCTGTGACCCGTTCACTTTCTCAGGCCCAAACTGGCCTGGGCCCCAGCTCCCGTCTTCCTGATGTGCACAGCCATTTGGCCTCAGGAGCCAAATTATTTTTCAAAGTCCTTGGAGGCAATACCTTGGCAAAATGTTGAGTGTAGTGGAATTATTTTGGAAACATCCCCCTGGCCAGGGTGTTTCTGAGCACCTTCTGTAGCGTGGATGCCCAGGCTCTGGGGCCTGCCAACTGTCTGACACAAGGCATCCATGTAAACCAAACCCAAGCGTGTGCCCGGGCTCTCCAAGCCCCGGCAAATGCAGCCGAGCCAGGCTGGCAGGAGGAGGAGCCGTCTGCGCGGTGATGAGGGCCAGGCTCTGGGCACGCCGCCTGCCTGGGCCTGTGCCTCATACCTACCATTTCTAGCCACGTGACCTTTGACATCCCTTTGCTGCTGTTTCCTCATCTATAGAGTAAGAGTATAAATTATTATAAAGTTAATTATAATTATATTACAAAAAAACAAAAAGACTTCCTACCCCACAGGATAGGTGATGAAGGTAACAAATTAATGCTTGCAAAGCTCTTGAAACAGCGTTTGGCACATAGTAAGTGTTCAGTAAGGGACTGTGGTTATTATAATTATCTCATGAAAACCGTGATGAAATAATGAGACTCACTGCTCTCCACCGTTATCAGTCTAAGAGTTATCAGTTGCCCCTGTTGGATGAGCATAGATTAGAGGAATGACTAATAATGTTTAGTAATTGCTCTTCAAAATGCTGCCTGGGCCCTCGAAGACAATTAAAATATGCTAGGTATTTCCTAGCAATAAGGTCAAGCCTTGCATAATTTAACAGCTCTACAGCAGTTCAGCATTTTGGTGCTTTGGTAAGGTGGCAGTTATGTAACAGGCTGCAACCACGCACATGAGCAGAGCCAGAGGTGGGGGAGAGGGTGCTTTGAAAAGATGTGTTAAGCACAGGAATGAAGGGTGTGATAGACGAAGGACCTGGCACCAGCTGCAGGCTTCAGAAAGTTTGGGTCTGGGGGAATGCATACGTGCCCTGTGCCATTTTGGCACATGTTGGCTTGAAAAAATCTCCCGATGTTAACTATCAACGTACTGCAATTCAGAGTTATGAAATTTTGTCTTGTCTTAGCCATATTGCAGGTGTTTCCTCACTCCTTCATAATATTTTAAACTAAAAGTATGATTGCATCAATTTCTAAAGTGACACAAAGCTGAATCAATCTCTGAAATCATGTCTTCATCAAACTTACGTAATAACTTATATTGTTGCCAAAGTATCCCCTTCCTGCATCCGATTGCCATTCTAACCTTCCTTGTTGCTGTAGATGTAGTGGTTCCATCCTTCAGATTCTAAGTACAGGAGAGCCTAGGAGGGTGTTAGAAAGCGGATGCCAGTGGCTTATTTCTGTTTCGGGGTGAGAGATGCTAGTCTTCTGAGTCCTTCGCAAGTGATCTCATGTTCTAACCACTAAAATACTTTTTAGACTGCCCTGTTTGAGTTGTGCAGTATTTCTTTAAAAGAAGACTGACATTTAAATAGGCTGCTTGGTGTTTGTCATGACATAAGGCTCAGAACCTCTAGAGACCAGAAAGTCAGTTTGTTTCTGGAACCGTCTTTAGACAAGGATCGTCCTCATCTCTGAGGACCCAGAATAGTTCATTGGTTGCCCACACTTTTCAGAGATAATGCTCAAGCCAGAGTCTTTAGAGTCCTGAATGGGGAGAGAGCTATGGGGACTGCTGTCAGCCAGGCCAGGTCGAAAGCTCGCCTAATAGGGCTCACTGGGGAGCCTGCTATTCACCTTAGTAAGAAGATGCTGTAGAGTAAGTTCCTGGGGATGAGGGAGGCCCAGAGAAGCCTTGTTGGATGGCAGTCTGTAACTTTACCTTAAGTCGTTTAAAATAAATAATTTTTAATATTTCTAAATGAGAGCAAAATTTTAGATGAATATATTCTTCTTTATCGCTGCCTGTCCAAGCGTTGTGGGAGGTCAGAGTGCTAGGTTGATGGCCAGGTGGCTGGCAGGAGCTTGGGGGCCTTAGCCAGCTCTAATTTTCATTTATTCACCAAATGCCGGCTTAGTGCAGGCCACGGACTACCCTGTGCTATAGAGGAAAGACAACGGCTGGAAAGTCACTGAGCGTGCATGTGTAAAGCATTGTTTTGAATACCAAACTGTTTGATGTTTTTCATAATAAAGTTTTTTAAAAGTGAGCTAGCGTATTTGATAATAAGGAGACCTTGAAAAATGAAAAACATAACTAACCTAAATGCTTGTTAAATATAATAGAAAGGCTAGAAAACAAAATCAGGGCACTTCCAAAAGGCAAAGTGAAGGGGTGGAGAGAGAAAATAGGGGAGAAATAGTAAATTAAAAATTTTGGTGATGCATCCAGGAGTTTGAATATCTGGATAGGAGTTCCAAGGCGAGAGAAGGAAATTTTCAAAGAAGTAATACAAGAAAAATTTCAGAACTGAAGGTCAAGGAACTTTCAATCCAGAGCCCAGCACAATGAATGAAAAAAATTACCCTTCTCTGGACACACTGTCATCAACATTCACAGCTCCAGAAACAATGAATTGTAACAGCTTTGGGGGGCAAATGAATCTCAAATGAAAGAAGGAAAATCAGAATGCCATCAGAGCTCAACATCAGCACTGAAAGCTACGCTACAAGACAAAAGAACAAAGCCGCCAAAATACTGAGGGAAAATTATTTTCCATCTAGAATGTTATGCTCAGCCGAATTTTCAATAAAGTGTGAGGACAGAACAAAGACATTTTTAAATCTGCAAGGACTTTAAATTTTGCTTCCTGTGGATCCTTTTTTAGGAAACAACCAGAATACTTCAGCAAAATGTGAAAACGAAAGAGAACTAGAACTCAGAAGGCAGGGAACCAACACAGGAAAACAACCCAGGGGGCCCGATATATATGAAATAGGCCCAGCTACTTTGAAGTTCACAGATTATCTGATGTACTTGACAGTGTGGAAAATAATATTTGTGTATATATTGATAGTTCAGTTAGAGTGTCTGCAAAAGCCTGAATGTAAGTGCATAGAAAATTAAGCAAGTGAAACAAAGAGGGAAGTGTTAACTCCAAGGGAAAAAAATTTTACGAGGGGAAAAAAAAATAAACTCCTTGACTTTTCAGTAAGCAGTTCCTTGTCATATAATGGAAAGAGAACTGTGGTAGGTGATATAGAAGAGCTAAGACCTAGGCAATTACAACAGGAAGTTAATAGGTGAAGCGTAAATAGATAAACCAAGATATGGCCTTATTAACATACTACCTGAGTTTTTAAAAAAGCTAAAAGCATTGAAAGTGTTTGCCTCAAGATACTCTGTTTTGGTTTCAGCATTTTTGAGCAGTTTAATTTAAACCATGTGTTTTTGTTTGCTCTGAGAAAAATGAAAATTAATGAAAAAGAGAAAAAAGTCGAAAGTTTGACCATCAGTGCAAAATTTCAAGCCTGCATCATCCAAGCGTTTGTCACCGCAGGCATCAGTGGCTTGGTGGATAGGAGCACACAGACAATCTCTGTCAGATCCAGGCTCTCTGTCTCCAAGTTTCTTAGCAGGGGACAAGCTTCCTGTCCATTGGCAGGTGACTGGACCATCTCCTGCCAGAGTCATACCAAGTTTCAGATGAGTTTATGAGGCTGAGCAGGAGTGTATGCATCATAACAGGAAGGGAGGAAAGAAGAAGGAAGGAAGGAGAAAATCCCCTTCATAGATGGATTTAGAAAATGATTTGCCACTTGACTATTGAGCCAGCTTCAGGGAAATTCTATCTGAAATGCACCAACCAGCTGAATACAGCTTCAGATGACAATTCCACTTCTTGACCATGTGAAGCTGCTGGTTTGACTCAACATGTGTCTGTTGGCCAGCCCCAGGGAGCAGTGGGTACACCTGGATATCCTATTCCCAGCCTGCATCCAGGTTGGAGTTGGAGTGTGGTGCTCAAGGTTCTTTATGGCCTGACCTAGTGATCTATCCAGAGAATGTAGAATGGACCAGGTCCCCCCCCCCGCCCACAACCCCTCATTCATGGGGCGCCTCTCCATCCATCATCACTGCTGCCCAGAGGTAGCTTATTGTAAGTCTGAGGCCTGTCCCAGTGCAGACTAATCCATATCTGGGCTCTCTGCCTGAGTCTGTTAGAATTGGACCACTGAGACTATAGTGATGTCAGTGATAATCAGGCAGCTGTTCGCTTCTTATACCCTACTACTCCTGTTGAGCAGCCCCGTCTGAAAGAAGTGATTGCTTTTTCTACTCCTACACACAGGTGTGCAGGGCACCAGGCCAGCCATAAGTGAGGACACAGCTGTCTGTGTTGACTGGTCTGCATCGAAACCCAGTCTGTCCTCTTCTGCTCCAGGCCTGGAGGCCATTTAATAGGGGAACCATTGTACCAGAGTCCTAGTTGGGAGGACCCCTTGCACTCTCAGTTAGCTGTGGTTTAACCTGTTTGTGGAAGCGTTTTCCTTTGAACAAAAGGAACATCTTCCTTTTACCTTCCAGGTAGTGAGCCATTTTTTAAAATCTTGATTGTTTATTATAGAAATAATGCATGCTGGTAATAGATTGAACCAATATAAAACTATGCTAGGAAAAGGATGATACATATGTGTGTACAACTTTGTACAACATATATACATGTATGTATACATGTATGTTCATAGACAGCTATGATTGCACATATATGGTTATTCAGTAAAAATGAGATCTTATGCAATGCAACTTGTTTGTTATTGTGACATAACTTATAGACACCTTTTAAAAATTATTTATTTATTTTAATTGAAGGATAATTGCTTTGCAGAATTTTGTTATTTTCTGCCAGATACCAACATGAATCAGCCATAGGTATACATATGTCCCCTCCCTCTTGCATCTCCCTCCCATCTCCCTCCCCATCCCACCCCTGTTGGTTGTCACAGAACCCCTGATTGAGTTTCCTGAGCCATACAGCAAATTCCCGTTGGCCATCTGTTTAACATGTGATAATAGAAGTTTCCATGTTACTCTCCCCATACAGCTCACCCTCTCCATCCTCCCCCACCCCTGCCCAGCGTCCATACGTCTGTTCTCTATGTAGCCTCCTTTTTATGTCCTATACTTTTGCCTCTTTCTCAGAAATATTCTTTATACTGATGTACCCTGGTTTATCCAACTCCCCTATTGACGAACATTTATTTAAATCCCCCCCAGACTTTTGATGTTAATATTAGTGTTGGAATAGCAGCCTTAACCCTGAAGTCAGACTGCTTTATTTGACTCCTAGATACTCCATTTACTTACTTTATAACCTTTAGTAAGTTATTTAAACTCTTTAAGCCTCAGTTTCCTAATCTGTAAAATGGGAATAAAGTAATCCTCACAATGTCCCTACCCTAAAAAAAAAAAGGCTAAGTGAGATAATTTATTTAAAACTACTCAGCGTATTATAATAATGATAACTAACATTTATTGAGCACTTACTGTCAGCCAAGCGCTGTGTGGGTAAACAAATACTATTTCACACATGAGCCTTATAACACGTATTTTAATATCTGCAAAGGCAAGTCCTTCCTCATTCTTATTAAAATGACATCAACTATTCCTCTGCATTTACTCCTCCAGGTAAATTTTTTAAATCAACTTTCCACCTACCTCCCATCAATATGACAAGCTTTTTTTTTTTTTTTAATCCAGTTGAAATTTTGAAGGGTATCTCTGCTTTTGAAGGTTGCCGGAGTAGAAAGACCCTTGGGCTATGTCAAAAGGAATTGGGTGGTCTTGTGGTAGCCTTCCAAAGCCACATCACCATGGGCAGTTCATTTAAATGCTCAGCTTCCCTACCTGTAAAATGGGAGGGATGATCCTGACAGGATGCAGGGGGAGGATATTGTAAGAAAGTGCTGGCACAGGGCCTGACACTTCATAAATATGTAACAAATATACTTGAGGCTGAGGTGGGTATTTGTACTTTTTCTTCTGGCCCTTTGTCATCAGCACCATTTTCAGCGGCAGCTCGAAGATGATCTGCAATGAAAGAGTTTGTGTGAGAACAAGAGCAGCAGTGAGCAGGCAGGATGAAGTCTCAGGCCCCCGCTTCCTGTGCAGGGCGAGCTGAACATTTACGACCCGTTGAAGATTAGCCAAAAGGGAGGAGAGGGAATTGGGACAAACATAGACTGTTCCGCCGTGCCGGCATGTGCCACCAACCGTGGAGCGGACTTCCTGCTGCAGGACACATCTGACCTTTGGAGAGGCACTGTCTGGGTGAGGCTGCCCTTTAGCAGGGCAGAACACAGCTGTTGTTTAGATATCAGAGGCTAGTTAATAACTGTGTTTGGCAGTCAGCTTGGGAAGTTAACAGTTTGAAAAACAGTCTGCTTCTAGGTTTAAGTACGGCCAGCATAAGGGAATCTTTGTGTTACCAACAGGTTGTTTGGTAATCCTTTGAACAAAAAGGAACACTAAGCAGCTTTGAAAAGTATGGAGGGAACTCGTAAAAGCCAGAGCAGATGTGCAGGCAAGGGTCACACTTCCAGTGCTCTCTGGGGAACAGTTTCTGGACTAAGACGTCCAACAAATGTGTTAATTCAGGTTGAGATTTCTAAGGCAAATATTGACTCAATCACAGCATTCGCAGTTAATTCTCAACTTGAATGTGTCCTTTCAGAATACCTTTGCCTGGCTGTTTTCTTTGCTTGTGTGTGATAGTTTGCCCACCCTTCACTTTGAACCTTAGCAGGTGAGTTTTTAATGACCAGTTCTGCATTCTTTTTCTAGGCTTTGAATACTGTGTAGAGGAGTAAATAAAACTATTTCTTCATTTTCCTAGTGGCATAGTTGTGGGGAAGGAAGGAAGAGAAGAGACAGTTTAGACCAGGAAATCCTGGCAGAATGTAAATGATTCCCAGCCTTAGGTCAGATTACATAAAAATAACTTCTTACCACTGTTCAATATTAAAGGAAAATCTGAGGTTGTTTTCTTTTGCTTTTTCCTTCCCTCAGTTTACTTGATACTTTAATTCCTGTTAATTTAGAAGCATGTGTCTTACAGTTTCTTTGAATTGGTGTGCAAACTGCTGCGTGGCTAACCAACTTTTAGTGTAAAACAGAAAGTGTTGACTAAAAGATATGACCAATATACCATATAGTTATTTTACCTTAGTGTTGAAAGATATTTTCACTGGCTATAGAATTCCAGGTTGAAGGTTTTTTCCCCCAGATGCTGCTTTACCATCTTTTGGCTTCCTTGGTTTCTGATAAAAATTCAGTGGTTCCTGGAATCATTGTTTCCTTTATATAATGTAGCAGCTTTCTCTGACTGCGGTCAAGATTTTTTCTTTATCTTTTGTTTTCTTTACATTTATCCTGCTTGATGTTCATGGAGCTCTCTGAATCTGTAAATTTAGGTTTTATAACAAATTTGGAGAATTTTCGGCCATTATTTAGTCAAATATTTTCCTATTCTATTCTTATTTTTCCTTCTGAAACTTCAATTACATGTGTGGCAGACTTTTTCATGTTGTCCTACAGGTTTGATGTTCTGTTCATTTTCTTGTTCAGTCTTTTTTTCTCTTCTTCAGGTTGGGTCATTTCTGTTGGTCTGTCTTCAGATTCATTGACTCTTTAATTTTCTCCATTCTGTAAGCTCATCCAATGATTTTTTTTTTAATTTTTATATATTATATTTTTTAGTTCTAGAACGTCCAGCTTGTTCTCTTTTGTTGTTTCTTTTTCTCTGCCACAGTTTCCTATATATATCATTTATTCTTTCAGGCCATTGAGCATAATTATGATAGTGCTTAAAAATTCTTATCTGTTCATTGTAACATCTGGGTTATCTTGGGACCACTATTGATTCTCTTTTTTCTTGAGGTCAGGTTGCATCTTGCTATATTTTTGTATATGTAGTAATTTTAGAGTGTAATTTGAACACTATACTAGTATGAATACCGTGGCTTCCCCTATATTCTTCTGAAGAAGTTTATGGGCTGGGGAGATTGTTGTTTATTTTGGGTTTTGCCTTAGCTCTCAGTTAATTGGTTGAACTAAAGCCACAAACTCTGCCTCTTGGCTCATAACTGAAGAGCACCTCAATTCTTGGCTAAGTTATTTTATCTTTAACCAGGTTGCTTAGAGTTTGCTCTATACATGCCTGGCTCAGGAGTCAGCCAGAAATGGGGCAGAGTTTTAACACTGAATTTGAGTCTCTCTTTGGCTCTATACTTTCTGTGATTTCTCTTTACTTTCCGGTATCTGTAATTGTCTCGAAATCTCTGCCCCCAAGGACTGCATGCTTTCTATTGGAGTTTAGCCACCTAGCATGGCATTGACCGCAGCCTGCCACCAGGCTCAGAGCCATAAAATTGAGAAACACGTGTAAATCTTTTCCCTTCTTCCACGTGTTAGCCTTCTTCTAGAATACACCTGCTTTTTTGTCTTTCCACAGTGCCTCCAGGTAGTTGTTTTTTGTATATTTTTCTCTAGAGTTTGTAGTTATTTTCTCTAGGGAAACTAGTCCAGTAGGAGCTTACTTGGCCATACCAGAAGTAGAACCAAAAATATATTTTTTAAAGAACATTTAAATGCAAGCTGATCCATCCCATAGTTCAGATTAGCAAGTTTGAAAAACATAAGTAGAGGAAAACATGGAACTGGAAAACTTCTAGAGGAAACTGTTATTTTTAGGGTCTTGGTAAACAGCAAACTACTACTATTAGTACACAGAGAAGCAACATAGCTCATTGTAGACTTCAGCATATTAATGAGATGCCAAAAGCTGCTTTGTACGTCTTTTCATCAGAACTTTCTATTTCATTCCGGTGAAGTAAAAGTCGCCATGCGGTAACTTATTGTATATACCAAATCACGTTATTAAAGGGAGAAACAGAAAAATTTCTCAATCAGAGTTGGAGATTTGTCCCCTGTCAGCAAATTATAGAACAGTTATACAAAAAAAAATCAGTAAATATATAGATGAATTCATAAGCAAAATTGATATAGAATATACTACATTCAGCAGCAGCAAAATGCACATTATTTTAAAATGCACGTGGTGTGTTTATCAAGTTGGTCAAAGTCGTGGGCCGTAAAATAAGTCTCAATAAAGTTTAAAAGCTTGAAATATATAGAGAATATAGGATATCCTCTGACCACAATGGAATTAAATTAGAAATCTGTAACAGAAATGTATCTAGGGAAATGCCCAGATACTTGGAAATTCAACAACACACTGTATATATAATCCATGGTTTTTATTTCAAAGAAAAAATCACAAGGTATTAGAAACTGTTTTTAACTAAATGATAATGAAAATACAGCACATCAGAATTTGTAGGATGCAGCTAATGGAGCCTATAAAGGGAATTTTATAGTTTTGAATATTTGTATCAGAAAAAAGAAGGGTCTTAAATGTGTTGTCCAATAGCGCTTTCTGTGAGGATGGAAATGTTCTGTATGTATGTTGTCCAATCTGGTAGCCACTCACCATGTGTGACTATTAAGTACCTGAAATGTAATTAGTATAACTATGGAGTTAAATTTTTAATGTATTAGTTTAAATTAATTTAGATGTAGATACCCATATGTGGTTATTGGCTACCATATTGGGCAACACTGGTTTAAAAATCAGTAACTGAAGGTTTCCTCTTAAGAAAAGTGCACAATATAATAAGAAGGATACAATAAAGGTAAGCACATGAATCAGTGAAGTAGAAAGTAGATCAGGAATAAATAGAGAAAATTCATAAATCCAAATACTTGGTCTTATAAAAGATCAATAAAATTTGTTAAGTATACAGAAAACACAGATTACCAATATCCAGGATAATAGAGGGACTACAAACATTGGAAAAATAATGGAATATTATAAACAACTGTATGCCGAAACATTAAACAATTTAGATGAGCTATACAAATTCTTAAAAAAATACAGCTCATCAAAACTTAACACAAGATGACACAGAAAGTCTGAATAATCCTGTGTCTATTTAAAAAAAAGTCTAATTCAACATCAAAAACCTTCCCACAACAATTTTGAACTCTCAGACAATGTTGGTAGGAATATAAAATGGTACAGTCACTTTGGAAGAAAGTCTGGCATTTCTTATAAAACTAAATATATACCTCTTTGACTCAGCGATGCTATTCATAGCTACGTCTGTAAGGGAAATTGAAATATATATTAACAAACACAAGTAAAGCCTAGGTGTCCCCATCAATAGGAAAATGGATAAGCAAACAATAGGATATTTATACAATAGAATACAGTTTAGCAATATTAAGGAGGAAAGTACATTCATAAGATGCAAGAACACTTATGAAACTAAAAAAATGCTGAGTGAAATTGTTAAAGAGGCAGAACTAAATCCATGATGGAAAAAAGTCAGAACAGTGATTCTTTATGGAGGAGCACGGGGGTTTTCGTCCGGTGTATATGTTTGTCTAAACTCAGTGAATGTACACCTCCCACTTGATTATTTCATTGAATGTAAATGTTACCTCAAAAAAGTTATATTGACCTGAATTTTTTAGGGAAAGTCTGACATCTGTAGTTTACTTTGAAATACATCAGAAAGATTAGATGGATTGATGAATAAGAAAATGAATGTATATATAGATATATGATAAAGCAAGTATAGTAAAATGTTAGTGGTAGAATCTAGGTGGCTGACATATTTATTTATAAGTATTTAAGTATCTATTTAAACATACATCATTGTCTATATGAAATTTTTCCTAATGTTAAGGAGAAAAAGTGCAGGGAAAGTATGCTTTTAATTCCACATACACATTATAGGACTTCCCTCGTGGCTCAGCTGGTAAAGAATCTGTCTGCAGTGAGGGAGACCTGGGTTCAATCCCTCCGTTGGGAAGATCCCCTGGAGAAGGGAAAGGCTACCCACTCCAGTATTCTGGCCCAGAGAAATTCCATGGACTGTATAGTCCATGAGGTCTCAAAGAGTCGGACACGACTGAGAGACTCTCACTTCACTTCTCACAGAATTACTGAAATGCAGTGAGTTGAACCGGGATCTGCCTTTTTTTTTTTTTTTAATGTTTATTTATTTATTTGGCTGTGCCGGGTCTCAGTTGCAGCATGTGGAATCTTTCATTGTGGTATATGGGATCTAGTTTCCTGACCAGGGATTGAAGCCAGGCCCCCTACATTGGGAGCTCAGAGTCTTAGCCGCTGGACCACCAGGGAAATCCCAGGATCTGCTTTTATATTCAAGAAAAATGTGCTGTGAACACATTTTTTCTGAATTTCTTGAGAGCTACTATAAACAAAGGACCATGGAATAATTAATACGAATCAAGTGTTTTTCCTGTCCTCTGGAAACTTGAATCTAATAAGGCATATAAAACATACAAATAATAGAGTACAGAAGGCCATACTTTCTCTAAAGAAGGTAAGGACAGGCTTGATGTGGTTGTTCAGCAGAGAGTGTATTAGGTTGGAAAAACTATGGAGGCTGCATGGAGGAGGGGATGTTCTACATACTAAGAGGACAGACCACTTCATAGGAGGACCGTGTCCCAGGTACAGAAAGGAGCCTGTGCAGATGTTTGGACAGATGTGAAATAAAACTGGAAGGTGGGGCCAGGGCCTTGAAAACCAGGGTTGGGTTTTTTTCAGTAGATAGAAAGGAGATATACATAGGTAGCATGTTTGGGCGAGGGAGAGAGGTGAATACCATAACGTAAATGTTCTGTATTGGTACCCAGAAATGCAGGAAGTCCAGATGAGAACCCCTCCCGCCACCTCCCACTGTAATGTTTTATTCCAGTCACACCCCCTTAGAGGGGTGCTTCTTAGAAGGCCCCAGCTTCAACTTGAAGGAGTTAGATTAGAGGATCTCTAGGGTTCATCACATTCTGTGATCTGATGACTGGAAAAAACTGTTGCACGAACAGATTAAATATTTCCTCTTGCCAGCTGTGTTTGCCAGCTCTTTCTTCATGAAGTCTGGATTGTACTATTACATAACTATCTTATGTTACAGCGTCCGTATTCTGGGTGTCAGAACTGTGAGCTGTTGCTGTGTGGTAATGTTGCTTTTCACAGACCGGTAACATTTCAAGCTCTTAAATTTTAATGGTGTGGGGAAAAAAATGATTGAGTCTTTAAACTGGATGGAGGTTACAGGGGAAACCATCTGCATATGTTACAGATGGGTCTGAGTAATCCAGACTTGCTTGCATCATCCTGATAATTCCCAAATGCAAGGAAACAAAATCTTAAAATTTTATGTGTGTCGTTGTGTGTACTAAGTCGCTTTAGTTGTGTCCAACTCTTTGAGATTCCATGGACTATATAGCCCGTCAGGCTCCTCTGTCCACGGGGATTCTCCAGGCAAGAATACTGGAGTGGGTTGCCATGCCCTCCTCCAGGGGATCTTCCTGAACCCAAGGGTTGAACCCACATCGCTTATGTCTCCTGCATTGGCAGACAGGTTATTTACCACTAGCGCCACCTGGGAAGTCCAATTTCTTGTGCTGAAAGAAAATCTACTGCTGCATGAGTTCCTAATAATGGCTGTCTTGTCGTCTCTTATACGTTTGATCTTTTGGCTCAGGGGAAATAAATGTCCCAAATATATTGAACCATTGGGTAGGTGATGAGAAACTTTCATCTCTAAGCATCCAGATCTGGATGGATGTCTGCTTGTGTAGAGAATGAAGGAAAGATGCTGAAAATAGTAACTTTCAGACCACTGGGTTCTAACATTTGATATGAGGAAAGAAATGATACGCTGGAAAAGTGTGAGATGGGAACATGGACTCTTTGGCAGGAAGAACAGGAAGGCGGCTCAGAGCCCTCTCCTTGATATGTTTGTCTTTGCTGACTTGATGACTGGCTTAGACCCCGTTCCAGAAACGTAAGTTTGATCTTTAATGGAGTGCTAGTTACACTGAGAGCTCTGTTGCAGAGAAAGCATGCTTCTTAGCATTCATTCACTTTTCTTCTTGTTAGGGAGAGAAACCATGCCGTTACCTCAAATGCTTCAGAACCATTTGAACACCACTCCATACCTCTCCAAAGGTCTTGTATATTTGTGCTCTGTGAACAGGGCAGAGGTGATCATAATTCATATTTATTGTTGGAATCAGCCCAGAGAATTCCCAAGGTCTTTCAGAAAGAGGGTGTTCTCTCTGGGGACCCAGCGAGCAGCAGGGTCTCAGTTCAGAGGTGCTTCAAAGATGTATGGACTGTGGCTCCAGACCCAGCCCCAGTTAAAGGGGAGGAAGCTGCTTTTCCTCTGCTGGGAACTAGAGACTACCACATCGGGACTCTTCCGTCTATAAACACTTCACTGAAATGTGCTCTGTTTGTTAGCAAACAGCATGTTTTGGGGCCAGATATCCTGTCCAAGTAATAATAATGCCTCTGTCATTAACATGCTTTCCCTTCCTCAACTTATAAGGATTTTTCATCCAGTTGTAAAACAAACTGTTGAAACTTTTGAAAATACAGAAGAATGTAACCCATTAAAGTCATCCATAATACCACAACTGAAAGGTGTTAATCATTGTTAACATTTTAAGATTCTTCTTCTTCGTTTAAACTTTCTCTTACATATATGTATACATAAATGTCACAAGGGAATCATGGGAAATATGACAGCTGTTTTTCACATACATGAGAATTTTTCTTGTGTTATAAAAAATCCTTAGAGAGTATACTTTAATGACTACAGAATATTCATTCCATTTTCTGAACACAGCATCGTTTTAATAGTACCTCACTATTAGACATTTAGATTGTTTGTAATGTTCCTTTGGAAAAGTGGCAATATCCTTGGTTTCAGGAGACACACTTCTGTCTGTCTCCTCCTTCTTGGGAAGGAGGAGAAATATGTGAGTCTGCCTCGGTGCCTGATGCCACAGACTAAACCTGTTTGGACCCCTTCTTGGGCCCCCTGTCTGGCTTTCTGTGCTTCCAGGTTGAAGGACCGGGGAGAGTGTCCTCAGAGCCGCTGATCATGGCCAGGGTCACTGTATTTGTGCTGCTCTTCCTGGGGACAAGCAGACTTTGGGCATGGGAGTCCGTCCCAGTGGACAGCCCCTCTGCTTCCAGTAGCCCTGGGGGGCCAGAGCACCCACCCCTTCCACGCTCTCTCTTCCTCAGGAGAGACGCCAGTCTGAGTCCCACACGGCTGTGGTCTTAGATCTAAAACAGAGCAGCTGTACGTGGCTTGGAGCCCATTGGGCCTAATAATAGTGGTACTAACCGCGGCTAGTATTTAGTTGACATTTGCTATGATGCTTCAGGTGTTCTGCATACAGCAGCTTGTTCATTTGCAGACCTGTTCTGAGAGCAGGCGGTAGTGTCGCCCAGTGAAAATAAGGGGTAGGCTCAGAGCCACACAAACCTGCTTGGGGTCCCGGCTCCCTCCGTTGACCAGGAGCTTCATGACCTGGACAGGTACGGTTGTTAGGAATGAATTCAGCTGCAGAGATCAGAAAACCTTACCAATAGTGACTTAGGCAGGCAGGTAGTTATTTTTCTGACATCATGAGAATTCTGGAGGGAGCCAGCCCAGGGCTCATGCAGTGTCTTCAGGGATCCACCCTCTTCTTCCCACTCTCTCTGGCTGGTGGCTTTCACTCTTGTGCTTGTGAGACGGATGCATCTGAGGCAGCAAGAAGCAGAGAAGGAGAAAGCGAGGCAAGCCCTGGATCAGGAAAGCGGAAGCTGTCTTGGAAACGCTCAGCTTATGTCTCGGTGGCCAGAACGTTATCACATGTCCACCTGGCTGTAAGGGACTCTGTGGGGGAAGGTTTAGCTGGGCACACTGCTGTCCTAGAGAAACCAGGGTTCAGTTAGAAAGGGAGACGAATATTTGATGGGTCAGCAGCCACCACTGTCTATGTCAGCAAGTCACTCCGTCTCTCTGGCACTCATTGCTTCCTCCTCCCTAGTCTAGTCAGGCTCTCTCAGCTGACAGGAGGGGTGCCCAAGTTTGCCTTAAGCTTTGGGAGATCCCCAGGGACGGGGAGACCTGGGCATGGGTTCCAGCAGCACACTGCCCATTCCCTGTGGGTCTCTGTGCTTCCCGGCAGGCCCGCGGGCACCTTGTTCCGGAGGTCTGGCTCGCTCTGTCCTGCCATCACTTGAGAATCCAGCATCTGTGACTCTGCACCACACCCCGGGATTCTTCGTGGTGTGGAAAGCTGACCTTTCTGCCCTCCGCTTTCTCTTGCCCTCCTCCTCCCTCCACTGACTGAAGCCAGCTGCCACCTCTGCCCCGTGGCTGCATCTTGCATCCACACCCCCAGAGAGACAGCGTCCAGGGTGAGGAGCATCGCGGTCAGGCGGAAGCTTCCTGCCCCAGTGGTTCCTCCATCACCCTTTAACCAGCGGGCACACTGAGGCTTCTCTCCTCACCGGAGAGAGCCCTGCGGCTGGCACAGGTGCTGGGGGAGCCCCGGCCTCACCCCGACCCGCTCTCCCGGGGAATCTCAGGGCACAGCTGCACAACTCTCGCGTTGCCGTGCACACTGAATCCACAGGAGTTGTGCTCCAGCAAACACTGTCCTCTGGGTGGGCCTCAGTTGTCGTTTGAGACTGTTTGAGATGAGGGTAAACTTCCTGTCATCTGGCTGTTGGAGAGATAGCCAGAGCCCCCGCATGCAGTCTCCAGGGCACAGTGGAGAATGTGGGTTTCGTGGAAAAGGTGGAGGAGAGAGTCAGGGATGGGGGCTGATCTGACTGCAGGCATCCCCAGGGAGGCCCTTGTGGTCCATGAGGAAGACGCCATCAGCCATGCCCCTCATCCCAGGCTGCTGAGAGGTGAGGGCCAGTTGTCAGCACAAATGAGGGGATGTGTGTGCACATTTCTTTGAAGCTGTGACTCACTCCAGAGGCTCCTTGTGGCTGTTATTACAGCTGCTGCCGCTGCAAAACAGCTTTGAACCCTAAGGTGTGAGACCGCCTTTGGAGGTGGGGGCAGAGAGCAGGGAGGGTTGTTTGGCAGCACAGGAGGTGAGCGATGCGTTCCGTGATCCGGGGATGGGAGGAGCATGGGTGAGTAAGGCTCTTCTGTCTCTTCAATAGCACTTTTAGGTGGTCTGTGTGATTCTGGATGCAAGAGAGTGCACACACCTGGGCCCTGAGGGTCAAAGGCAAGAGTCAGGCCAGGAGGCCCTGTCATCAAGAGCTGTCCAGGTGAACGGGGGCAAAGGTCTGTCACACCCCCGCCAGCCTGCTCTCAACCGGGGCTCTGTGCCGGCCTCGTGGCATCAGCCTGGGGGCCCCCTGACAGAAGCCCAGGAGTCCCCCTTCTCTCATTTGCCCTGCGTTCGTGCCCTGGTGGGTCGAGTGCTGGGCCAGCACTTGCCCAGTTCACATGTGATTGGTTCTGACGGTCCCCAAGCTGGCCCACCGCTGCCGCTGCCGCTCAATAACCGGTGTATTCAAGCAGCACCCGCCTGGACTCTAATGGGAAACAGAAAATCACTGGATGGCACTGCCTTCCTCCCCAGGTCCCCAGCACACACTCTCGTGGCTAAGGAGCAGTCCTCCAGACTGTCTAGGGCCAGACGGCCATGTACTCAACCTCCTCAACCTGAAGAACTCTGTAGAATAAGAGCTGGCTCCGTGGGCTGGCTGCCTGTTGGACTGCCAGTGGAACAGCCCTTCACTGAGACTTTGAACTTGGTCCTGTGACATTTGCATTTTAAGCTGAAAAGAAAGCCAGATTGCAGAGCAGAGCCAAACTAGTTATGGTTCTTCTTTTTTTTTTTTTTGACTGTTGAGCAAATTCTTTTGGGGGAGGGTCCTCACTTGGTCCCTTTCAGACACCTCTGTCAGAATTCAGAGGAAAGTACCCACACTGTGAGTGGAGAAGCCCAGGTCCTGACCTCCCCTGAGCTGAGACACCCCGCGGCCTGATGAGCCGTGCGGAGGGAGAACCCGCTCACAGGAGCACTGACTCCTGGGAACAGGGCTGGGGGCCGCGGGCCCATCAACGGCAGGAGGAGTCCTTCCAGCTCCCCGGCCAGAGCACTACTGCACCCCGGGCTCCCGAGAGTCAGCACCTAGGGGACCCCGGGCTCCAAGACTGGGCCCCAGGGACGGCCCTGCTCACCCTCATCTTGGCGCTCAGCCTGTAGCTCTCCACACCGCCGCCTTGTGCAGAAAGCATGTGCGTGGCCCTGAGTCCCCTTCCATCCCTCTGGTCCAGGACACACCTCCCTGCTGCATCGATCTCTGCTTCTTCCTTCCCCACATCTCCGGTCTGGAGAAGCGGTTTTCTCCCCATCCTCGCATCCTGCCTGCAGTGTGGCCGCAGCCTCCCGCCTCTAGTGTCCTGTGCATCTTTCTGGCACAACTTGCCAAAACACAGTGCACTCTAGTCAGGCCCCTGTGTGGACCCTTTCAGCGCCTCCTCACTGCCTGCCAGGAACAGAAGGTGGGAGAACCTTGCTTTGTGATTCGGTCGCCCTCTGCCTCCCTGAGTCTTCTTATACTTTGTTCTGCCCACAGCTCCAAACATAGGCACTCAGGAAACATTTAGAGATGGAATGAGTGAATATAAGAATTTGGAAGCCAAACAAATTCTCTGATGTTTTTGATGTCATAGTTACAGAATTACCATGTTCGTATCTGCAGGAGATACTAAAAGAGTATCATTGTGATAGTCTTTCCTGGTTTTCTTTAAATAAGTCTGTTATCCAGAGACTTGAGAAGCTGGTCTTATTTCATAAAGGGGGGGTGAGGTTTGTAGAATATGCAAGGAAACTTAAAAGTCAAATGGCATTTTGATCTCTTGATTTGAATCTGTAGCTCAGATGATGCCTACCAAAAGCATTTCAATAATTCACTCCTTTTTTTAGCCAGCCAGTTCTTCAGTCAAATTTAAAAAGGCTTGGAAGAACATGTGATTTTTAAAATATCCTGGAGGATTTTTCCAGGCCTGGGCAACTCTCATGGGTCAATGCACAGCTATTTCTGTGTGTGTGTAGAGTGGGCGGTACTCTGCCTCTTCACAGAGGGGCCAGGGCCTAACTGTCTGGCCGGTGGGGGGAGAAGGAGAAGGGAGTTGGATGTAGGACTCTCTTCTTGCCTCCTCATACACAGCTGGGCTCCACTGCAGACCCGCAGGCCTGCTGTCCCCACCTCTGGTGTTTGTGTGCCGGCACCTGCTGAAAGGTGTTTATTCTTACTATCTGGTCCCTTTATTGATTTTTTAAAATTATATATTTATTTACTTCACTGTGCTGGGTCTTAGTTGCAATGCGCGGGATCTGCAGTCTTCGTTGCGGCATGTGGGATCTAGTTCCCTGACCGGGGATTGAACCCGGGCCCCCTGCCTTGGGAGCATGGAGTCTTAGCCACTGGACCACGATGGAAGCCCCTGAGCTGGTCCCTTTAAACTGTGGGAGTCCCAACTCTGGGTCAGGCATAGCACCCAGGTATGGACCGGGTGGGTATTGTGAGGAGTCGCTCGGGGCAAGTGTAGACTGTCCCACGTAGAGGTGGCTTTGGAGTACACCATCCATACATGTGAAACAGACGCTTCCCAGCTGCTTTGAAGGCCTGTTATTTCTCAAGATTTGAGTCATGCTTAAAGGAAGAGGAGCCCTCAAGTCAAATGGGGAGCAAAGGAGTGTGGCCCAGCACGCAGGGATGGAGTGCCCAGCCCCGCCCTGAAACTCAGCCTTTGGTTTTCTGGGCCAGGCCATTCCCCCAGGGGCACACCAGCTCTCCAGCTGGGAGGCTGGGTTAGCTCCGTCTCGTGGTGGGCTTGCTCCTCAGGCCCACTCTGCACCCTTCTCCACCCTGCCCTGTGCTCTGGAAGCTGATCGTGGGGACTGTATGGACGGCCCCCTGGCTTCGTGTCCCCTCTTGTGCTCTTTACCCAGTGGGGAGAACCCACGGGAGATCTGAGGGGTGGGTGGAGGGGGCTGGGGGGAAGGGGGGTAATGAGGCCAAAGTACTGATTCTCCCGACTCCTCCGGGAGGCGTCACCAGGTCTGGGCCCCTGCTCGGCAGCCCTCTGCGCAGGGCACTCCGCCTCAGACTCCCGTAGCCTCTCCTCCCTCACCCTGTGGTCCCGGCGTGTAACTGTGGCGCTGTTACTGGTCCCAGAACACTGCTGTGGTTCCCCTACCCCCTGCCCGCCCCTCGGTAAATGGGCCCTTTATTAAACTCTCCTCAGATTACCCAGCTTGAGAGTGCCATCTGTTTCCTGCCAGAACCCTGGCGGATATGGTTCCTAAGATCTTTTCCAGCTCCGAAAAAAGATGCCTGCAGGCAAGGGAGAGCTGGCCCTTTGGGGGTCCCAGTTTTCACTGGCGCCTCCCTGCCTGGTTCCCTGGGGTCAGGGGAGAGAGGGTCTGGCAGGCATGTGATCCCTGGAACACAGAGTCACTGGGAGAAGGACCAGAGGGGCCCTGGCAGACACAGCCTGTGGGAACCCCAATCTCCAAAGAGCAGGCAGGTGTGCTGTCCGCTGTGTGGGGAGAGGGCAAGGGGTAATCAGCCCAACTGAGGCTGGGCCGTCACGCCCAGTCCTCTCTGCCTGTGTGACTCTGGGCAGGCGGCCTCACCCTCAGAGCCCTGGCTTCTTCCCTGCCAGCCCGGTGTGGACCACACCAGCCCTGGCCCACACATGATGCTTGCGCGGTGCAGAGGCAGGAGTCTGTGTGGACTAACGAGCCGCTGTCATAAACAGCTTTCATTGTGACAGGGTCACAGGCAGGGCACAGAGCCCCGTAAGGACATCCCCACTGCTCATGTCCCAGCTAAACTCGCTCCATTTCATGCTTTCTTGTCGTGTGCGCTTGTGGAGACGTACGTGGCTCCCAGAGTGTCAATTTCAGGATCAAAGCTTGACCTCAGAGATACCAGGTTACAGAATCATGCCATCAAAGAGCCGTGGCAGACTCCGCCCATCTCTGGAATTCAGATCTGGACCTCAGGAGGTCTTAGGCAGCCCCCTGTGGCCCTTCTCAGAGCAGCTGCTTCCAAGTAGGTCTGAGAAAGGATAAGGGAAATTAAGAATATACTTTTAAAAATATGCTGCTGTTTCTGCTCAGTCACTTCAGTTGTGTGTGACTCTTTACAACCCAATGAACACAGCCCACCAGGCTCCTCTGTCCATGGGATCCTCCAGGCAAGAATGCTGGAGTGGGTTGTCATGCCCTCCTCTGGGGGATCTTCCCGACCCAGGGATTGAGCCCATGTCTTCTGCATTGCAGTCGAATTCACCACGGAGTCAGTGGGGAAGCCCACTTTTTAAATAACATCTATTCTGAATTATTAAAGTTATCACAGAGTTTTTGGCATACAAGAAAAATACATTCTTTTAAAAATATTTACTTCTTTTTGCCTTCGCTCTGTCTGTGTTGCCGCACATGGGCTTTCTCTAGCGCGGCACACGGGCTTCTCACTGCAGCGTCTTCTCTGTCGCAGAGCACCGCCTCTAGGGTGCGCTGGCTCAGTAGTTCTGGCACGTGGGCTTAGTTGCTCCACAGCAGGTGGGGGTCTTCCTGGACCAGGGATGGAACCCACGTCCCCAGCACTGGCAGGCGGATTCCCAGCCACTGACCACCAAGGAAGTCTGAAAGATACCTTCTTGAGAACTACAAAAGTCAAGTACAGTTTTCTCTTTAAAAAGAAACAATAAAGACCCGTAAAGAGATGCCGTCGTGCTCACTTGGCACCGAGGACGGCGTGTCATGTCATGTGCCCACCAGAGGGGAGTCAGAGCAGAGGAACAGGGCTGAAGGAAGGAAGGACCCGGAGAGGGCACAGCCCTACATGCCCTGGGGACACACCCCACTGTGCTGATGGCACCGCCGTTGGGAGCCGTGCACACAGCAAAGGGAGCCATCTTAAGAACATAGTGCTCAGTGGGAAATTAAAATGAGATACACAAACCAATGTTTCCATGAGTTAAAGATAAGCACACAAGAAAACCCATCCCACATGCACAAAGTTTGTGAGCAAACATAGATACACCTCACACACGCTAAAGAATTTGACTCTGGGGTGAGGGGCATGGAAAACCGGATACAGGGAGCAAAAGGCACACACAGAAACCCAGCACTTCCGCCTTGCTGCTGTTTAGTCTCTGAATTGTGTCCAACTCTTTGCAACCCCATGGACTGTAGTCCCCCAGGCTCCTCCGTCCATGAGATTCTCCAGGCAAGAATACTGGAGTGAGTTGCCATTTCCTTTTCCAGGGGATCTTCCCAACCCAAGGATCGAACCCACGTCTCCTGCATTGGCAGGTGGATTCTTTACCACTGAGCCACCTGAAAGCCCCAGAGCTTTCGCCTGGACCATGTTAATCGTGTGTCTGGAAGTGCTGTGTGTGATGCAGGGAAGACCTGTGCTCCTGAGGTGCAAGGCAAACAGAAAGACAGCCCCCAGTTTTTCTATTTAAGGTTGAAAAGAAACTTTAAAAAGCTTTTACTGTTCCATTTGCCTGCCCTTCCCCCATCCAGCCCTCAGTGTAACCCCTAAACCACAACTGGTTAATGGATCAAAAGTAACCTTTGTAGGGTCAGACGCAAACACCACACAGATGCAGCCCAGAAACCACTTGAAAGCAGGGATGCTGTGAGCCGCCCTTCAGGCTTCCTTCTGGAAACTCAGCCCCTGCAGTGCCCGCCAGGCGGAGGAGTGGCCGTCACGGCAGGCAGGAGTACCACCCTACCTGTGGTTCTCTTTTGTTTAAAAAGTGCCTCCTGGAAGGTAGGTAAATGTGTGTGGAAAGTAGGTAATTGCATGCGAACCTATCAGAAGAGCCTGCTTAAAATACTTTGAACTTTACGCCCGCTCCTCTCTTGTGGGTATGTTTCCTTTTGTCATATCATGGGTAATTTTTTTGCCAAAGTGACGATCACAAATCTACATAATCATGTGTTACATTGCATTTTTACATCTTTATTCCAATTATTCTGTCCTCAATGTTTGCATTTGGCAGTGTTTTTCCATTTTGCTACATAGATTCTGTTACATCATTTTTAATGGCTAATATTTTATTAACTAAATACCCCAACACTTATCAGAATGACATTTAGGCTGCATCCCACTTATCCTCTACTTCAGAGTGATGCTGAAGAGAAAGTATCTATGCTGCATAAAACTTCCTCATATTTTAGAAGACTCCCTTAGGATAGACTCAGGAAATGAAATTATTGGATAAAGGAGTGAACAAAAGCATCTACGACTCTTGGTACAAATTACTAAATTGCTTTCCAGAAGAATAGTAGCAATTTATACCTACCTCCATAGCATGTTCTTGAGCCAACATTATGTTTCATAAGTTCTTAATTGCTGATTTAATAGCTTACATACGTTGATCACATTTATTTGATTAATAGTGAAGTGAAGGTCTCTCAGTGTGTCCGACTGTTTGCGACCCCATGGACTATACAGTCCATGGAATTCTCCAGGCCAGAATACTGGAGTGTGGGTGGCCTTTCTCTTCTCCAGGGGAGCTTCCCAACCCAGGGCTCAGACCCAGGTCTCCCGCACTGCAGGTGGATTC